TACGGGATCAGTCCACACCACCTGACATGTGCCAAAGATAACAGGACACCATATTGGGAATGACCAAGGGGAAGTGTCAAGGTGAAGCCAATGTACAGTCTGCACATGCTGAGAGCTTTATGGAGGTAAAGTAAAGTGTTGTCTGCCAGCTCCTAGGCAATCAGGACACTCTGGTGGCCCAGGATAAACTGGGTGAAGAGCTTTGGTTTTATGTAAAATATGTCACGGTGGTGGGGGAGGGTTATAAAAGGTATAAACTGAATACAGGAATATTGGAACTTCAGCAAAAACCAAAAACAAAAATAAAAAACAAACAAACAAACCCAAGCTAAAATAAATGATATGGAAGTCTTAACATTAACAGTGCATGAGGCTTCCCAGGCTGCAGTGCTGATCCTGCCGGCTGGTTAAACTACAGTCAGGGTCTGGAGATGTGATTCCACTACTGCCACCAAATACTTCTCTCAGCTATTCCCAGTGTTACACACCCATCTCCTCAACTCAAAAGTCCGGAAAGTGGCAGAAGACATGGGAAGAATCCTTGCCTTAGTATTTCAAGATACAAGGGTTCCAATTAGAAAATTACTGCAGTTAGGAAGTGTTCTGGAATGTGAATATGTCTGGACAGTAAATGGCAAAATTTCCCATAGTCTGAATTTTGTAGATTGCATCAATAAAATTTTGCAACTAGTTAGTATGACTCAAGCCATGAAGAGGCTATCAGGTACATTTAAATGCATTTGGTCTACCAAATTCACAGGAGCACTAAGACTCCTGTTTTCTTCCTTCCTTCTTGCTGCCTTATTCATATACCTCACAGAAAATCTTATAAAGGGAAATGCCAAGTTGGATATGTAAGGAAGGCAGAAAAAACAATAAGAAGTATAAACAAAACAAAAAAGGAATTTTTCTTGGAAAGGACAGCCACCTCTACCTGCCCCTTTGGTTATTTGTAAGCTTTGGCACTTTTCTTTCTTTAAAAGACAGTGACAGTCAAAAAAAAAAAAAAAAAAAGACAGTCAGATGCAGCTACCAGCAGAAAAGACACAGGTAGCTGCAAAGCAAAATCAATAAAAGGGCAATGTAATATTCAATGTGCTATTTCTTTAATACAATGAGACAAGTCATATTCATTTCCCCCTTCACATTTACTTTTACCATCACATGCTTTTCAAGCCTTAGTTTCTAAGCAATAGGCATGGAATAAAAATAGCTTTTTCATTAAAACTGCTTGCTGTAAACTCTTGGGGCAAGTTATTTAATACGTTTCCTTCCATGAACAGTGAGGATAATATGTACCTTACGAGGTTGTTGGGGAACTCCAATGAGATAATAGCTATAAAGTGTCACATAGTAAATGCATAACAAATGTCAGTCTCTTTGCTTTGTCTCTTCTCCCGCCAAGTTGTATCAATTTTCCTTTAAATATGTTGACTTTAAAAATTCAAGCCATTGAGAATCAAAAGTTCAAAGAAAGGGCATAAAAAGTTCAGAATTTTCATTTCACCTTATGTAGAATAAACCTTTTTGACAATATCCATGTGAATTTGGATATTTGGCAAAATATATAAATTTAAAGGACCAGCAACTAAACTTCTCTTTCAGAATATTTCCCACATTCATCCTTTCCTGTCCATTCCCTCTACAACCTTGCTGGTTTGGCATTTATTTGTTCAAACAGATAGCAAGAGGGAGCCTGAAGATCGGTTCCAACTCTGATTTTACCAGTAAGGGTAATGCTCAGGGTGATTTATTTGAGTACGTTCAGCTAGTTAACAGCAGGGACTAGACAACAGCCTCTAACACTGGTTGCAAATTAAGAACCTACAGGAGCCAGTAGGTAAAAGAGAAGTGAGCAAAGAGAGGGCCTTAAATGGGGAGCACAGCTGTTCTAAACAGTGAACTCTAGTTCACAGTTATCATGTGAGAAAGAAGGCAGCGTGTTGCTAGAATTTCTAACATTTCTGGAGATCAGGACAACTTGAAACTTTATACATGATCTGCTTGCTTTTAAATGTTGACAATGTATTAAATATTTTTTAAACCTCTCTGCAGGTCAAGCAAGACACATCTGTGGGCTGGATTTCATCCATGGCTGGCTAGTTTGAGGACTCTGCATCCTGCTAACCCCAGTTTAAATTTCTTTTATTTAGTTTGCTTTGATGCTCATACTCCCTGCTGGAAAAACCTTCAATGGCTCCCATTGTCTCCAAGATAAACTCCAAACTTCCGAACCAATCCTTCAAGGCAATTCATGACTGTATTTAAGATCCAAAGTGTATTTCCACCTTACACTCTCCATCTTCCATCACACCCAGAATGGCCACTGACTTCAACTCTAGGTACAAAATTCAGAAGGGCACCTGCCCAGGTCTTGTGGGCCATCCTCAGTCTCCAGACTTCACTTTCTTGGGATGCCTTTCACCTGTGTACTCCCATCAGTGAAACTGTCCATTTTTAAGGGTCCAGCTCAAGTACAACCTCTCCACAAACCTCCTGATGGCCCCTGCTAAAAGTCACCTTGCTCTGAACTTCCACAAGACTGTATCTCTCACATGACACTTAAAACCTTCTGCCTTGTTTTGGAGTTACCTGCATGGCTCAGTTCCCCAAGCACCTAGTAACTCCTGGAGGGAGAGTCTGGGTCTGAAGACTATGTTGAATATTATCACAGTGCTTTGTACAAAGCAGGGAGCTCAATAACCATCTTAGAAACATTATCCTTTTACACTGAAAACTTGTGGATCGAACATAAAGACCTTTGCAGAACACCATTGCATTTATACTTTTATAGGCAGATTTCTGAGTGACCCTAAAGGGGCAATGGCTTCACTTTCCCCACTGAACTACTACTACTTTCTACTTGCTTTGAGGTCTCCTCCTCCAGAAGCACTCACATCTTTGCCTTAGATAATATTGATTCTAAGAGGTCACTGTGAAATATTCATCTACTACATAAAAGTGTTTCAGGGGCGTTGGTCTTTTTCTATGAGTAAGTTTAGTTTATCAGATCTGATGGTTATCACTTGGAAAGATACAGAGAGCTGGGCCATCAGTGAACAGTCACAAGCCAAATATTTCAGCTGTGATAAATTATTAAACCCTGGCTATCTAGCAACCAAAGCTAATTTTGAGTGTGGGAGTCCTAAACTTACACATCACACTTTGTTTTTCTAGAGCCACCCATATTTTCAGTCAGCTATTTTCAGTTAGTGTCAAAAAAGAAAAGAAAAATTAGACTCCATTATTTTTACTGGCCTGGCTGGTGCTAGGAGTACTCATTGAAATGTTTGCTCAATGAATTTAAAATATTACTTTTTACTTTTGCTTGAAACAAATGTAATTACTGAAAGGATAAAACACTATGGTCTTATAAGATGGCCTACATTTGCAAAATAATGGGAAAAGTAGTTACAGTCTTCCCTCAAATCAGCTATAGTTTACATGTCAGCTGAGTAATTTAAATTAGCATATTGTGGATACACCCTTTCTAACCTGTACAAATATATACTGTCAAAGGCAACTTGAGCCTTGCAAACAAAGTCCTCACATTTATGTCATGTGATTCGGTGTCAGAGAGCCAAGACAATCTTGAATTCCAGGAAACATTAAAGAAAACTAATGACTTCAGAAGTTTCTACTGTGAAAACAATGTTTTCACCGTTTTTGGACCATGGTAGGTCACATCTACTAACTCTCTAATTTCTTTACCAAAAGAGAAAAATTCATTTTTAAACATTTATCAGGAGTGCTTCTGAAATAAACATATCATAACAGGCTTATAGCATAGACTAGCATCAGCAGCATAGTACAACAGATACACTCAAAGAACTTTCCATCATGAAAAGCAATTCTTTTCTTTGTAACTCCTGTGGGTAAGAGGAAGGATAAATGGAGTAAGTTACACACAGTGATCAAGAAGTTCTGAGTACCCTCATTTTTCCTGTTTTAATATGTTTTGCGCTAAAATAGACTTAAAACAATATCCTCTGCTGAAAACTATGGTGAACATGCTTATTTTGTCTTTATGTAAATGAACGATCTTATGTTAAAATTTTTAAAGCAAAATTTTAACATTTTAGAAATTAACATTCAAAACATTTTTCAGGCATAAACGGATTCTAGGCCTTTATCGGTTAGAAGCCAAGATTTAGATCAACTGCAACAAATATTTTATAATTATATTGTCATAAAATAAGACCCATGGACTTCTTAAAGAACAAGAGCAGAGTAAAACACACTTATGAAAAAAGGAAGAAGCCTGAAATTCACCATATCAAGATCACTTGACCCCACTTGAAAGAATATAAACGTGGATAGAGGAAGGGCTAGCCAGAGCCCTTTTTCTGATCTCAAAATGAAGCCAAAAATAAATGGGCAGCTCCAGGCCCCTTTTATCATTCTTGCTGAATGTGTATTTCCAGCATAACTGTCACTGAGGTCAGGCTATGTCTTCCCAAGGAGGGGCTGCTGCAGCTGCAGCCTGAGAAGACCAGCGTGCGGGAACGAAGAGCTGAGAGGAGGCTTTGGGGGGCACACACGTGCGTGGGCGGAGCGTCTGGGTCGAGTGACATTTAGTTGCTCTTACTGAGTTCCCTGCTTCTGAGATCTCGGTGTCCCTTTTTTTTTTTTAACTGTAAAATTATCCGCGGGGAGGGAGTATAGGGAGAGGCGATAACCCCACACTCCCAGAATCCTTCCGGGACAAGGTGGATTCAGGCTGCAGAGTCGGAATTGTTGGGACCAAGAGGCCCAAGAACGACCTCGCAGGGATCAGAACCGCAGACGGGTGCCACCCAGGCCCAGGAGAGGCCGGCACTGCCGCCCAGGGGAGGAAAACCTGGGGTTCTCCAGCTCTCCCAAATCAGGGGTAGTTAAGTCAAAGTGTGCAGACTGGTCAGCAATTCCCACCCGGGCAGTGGGCAGGGGGGCGGCCGAGGAGCGGGAGGCGCCGCGGGCCCGCCGTGCCCGCCGCCGGGGGGAGGTGCGGCCGCCCTTACCTGGTTCCTGCGGTACCACGCGCCCGACAGGGAGCCGTTGCCGACGCCGAGCGCCCCGTACGTGAAGTTCCGCGACAGCTCGTCCAGGGCGGCAGAAGCGGTGTCCCCCGGACCCTCGGGCGCCCGCGCGGCCATGAGGTCCGTTCCCGGCGCTCGGGCTCCGGCTCCGGCTGGCCCGCGACGCCCCGGGAGGAGGCGCGCCCCGCCGAGGCCGCGCCTGGGCCGCGCCGGAGCCACTTCCTGCAGGGTGCCCGACGAGGCGGGCACCGAGGCCACCTGGCTCCCGCCCCCGCGCGGCGGCAGGTGCGCGCCCGCCTCCCCGCCCTGCCCCGCGCGGCGCCGCCCCCTCCTCCAGCGCCAGGTGCCCGCGTGGAGCCGCCGGCCCGCGGCCTCCCGCGGCTGTCCCGCTCGCCCCGCCTCCCTGGGCCTCGGTGCACCGCGTCCTCACCGGCCAGGCTGCCCCCGCGCAGGTCACCGCGCCAGTCGGTGCGCGGGTGTCCGCACCTGTTAGGGCTAGAACGAGATGTCTCCGAGGACCCTTCCAGCCCCAGCGGGTGTTTAGTCAATATTTGTGGAAGTGAATGGGAGAGAAAGGAGACACTGGCTAAACCAAAGCATCTACTTTCATCCCATCTGTTGCTGGCAATTACAGCTATCATATGTAGTGTTTCTCACTATATTTTTTAGATTGTTTGCATTTGGAAAAGCCACGAGTTCCCGAAAATCTTGTGAGGAAAGTGAGAATAAGAATTAGATAATTAAGTGTCAGTGTCAACATGTCAACACTTGATAGACCCTTAAGAATATTCCTGGAATGAAGGAAGGCAGTAGTAGCTGGAGGACCCCAATGTGTATTTGGGACTGGATGGAGTTTGCTTCAGATGTAACCAGAAGGAATTGCTGAAAAGTTGCCAACTACTGGATATAAAAATTTAGAAAGGAGATAATTGTTGTTAAAGGGCTTAATGTACTCTAACCAAATGTTCTGGTTTTTATCTGTATTCAATTTCTACTATGTTACTACAAATGAGCTGTAATGTATCTCTCACCTTGAGAATTCTATGATTCTATATTGTTGCCTGAGGCACCAGAACTTGTAATTCTTTTGTTTACATAGTGCTGAGATTCCTCTTATATAATATGCTTTGACTGCCAGTACTTCATGAAAGGGAGACCTTTAAGAAAAGAGAATTCCTGCCTGGTGGCGAACAGGGAGAAAGGTTTCATTGTTTCTTAGGGAAAATATGCAAATGAAAGAAATAAGAAAAAAATCATTTCAGGTAGAGAAATGACAAGACATCATTGCGGAAGTTGTATATTCTTGCTTGAGCTCCCAGTATGTTCAGTGAACTGTTAATATTGTAACTATTCTCAATTTGAAAAGGATCATTTATTTCAAATAAATATCTGGAGGAAAAAGTGGCTATTTTACATATTTTCTATAACATCAGATTATTTTGTATTCATGACTTTATTAATGCTTCTTTCAGTTGAGATGCTTTAGAGTACAAGTAACAGGATTCCAAATAAAAGTGGATTAAACAATAAGCATCTGTTATTTCTGGAGGGAATGTGGCTCCCCATGGTTCTATGATGTTATCACTTCCATCTTTCTGCTCTGCTGTCCCTGATGTATTATTGGTCTTGTCTGTTTTCATGATAGTGACACCAGGCATTACATGAAAACATGACCACATTTGGAAAAAAAGGAAGGTATTTCTTCTTATGCATCCTCTCATTAAAGAGAAAAACCTTTTCCAGGATCTCCCCAGCAGCCTTCCCCCCCAAGGTCCTGTTATCTAGGACTGGGTCACATGTCCATGTTCTACCTGAAAGGGAGGCTGGGAAAGTGATTCTTGGGCATTTCCAGCCTTCAGAGAGGGGGGCACATTTTTTCAGAAAGGAAGAGCTGGGATTGGGTGGGAGGGCACCTGCAGAGCCTGGCGCAACCACTCTTAAGTATATTGTTTTCTATTAGCCAGATTGTACCTAGTCATACAGTCTCTAAAAAGCAAAATAATAAATGGATCATGTTACTTTCCTGTTTAAAATTCTTCCAAACTTCCCCCATGAACACAATAAAGTTCACACTTCTTAAGCTAGGCTCATGAGACCCTTTATGCATTGGTCCCTATATTCTGCTACACTCAAATCATTCCCATTTTATTTTTTAATTAAAAAAAATCATTTTCCATTTCTTTGCATTTGTTTAAAAGCCTCTAATTTTGGAGGAACATGGCACTTGGTGCAGAATAGATATGATGCACAGGCTGTGATGTGCTCTTCTCCGGATTCCAAGATGCCACCGCAGTTCCTGTGGCTGTTCTAGCAGGTGGGGGCGGCTGAAACAAAGAATTCATGACCAGGGTTCTTTTCCACACAGTTCACACGAAGGCGGCAGGAATGCTGTGTGAGCTATCTCGGTCCCAGCAGTGTAGGAGTTGCTGGGGGCTGTTCAGGGCTTTGTAATGGCCTCTGCCACTTGCGGGGTTTCGTCAGGAGATACCCTGTTCACTTGACAGGATGCCAAAAGCCTTTGATCAACCTCCTGTCCTCAGCACTGAAATGGTGGAGGTCTGTTAACTCAAGGAATTCTTCCTCAGTTAATTCAAGAAATTCTATTTTGCTGCTACATCATTGAAGCTGTACTTCACTGTGAATTTAGAGAGCAGGGTTACATTTTGCCCACCTTGCTTGGGCTCTCTCACTCACAGCATCCACAAAAAACTTTTTTTTTTTTTTTAGTTAATCTTTAGCATGAATCAGTCAACACTAGTTTCACTAATGATGAGTGTCTAAGAGGCTAAGGTAGTTATTAGGATACAGATTAATTCAAGTATTTCACTTTATATACAAGAGCCAACTTCAGATTAGGCACTTTAATGAGAAAGGCAAAACTTTAAATCTGAGCCGTTGTGAAAGTGCCGATGCTAAAAGGCAGACTGACTGGGTCCAAATCCTGACTCTGCTACTTCTCTGCTGTGTGACCTTGATCAAGTTGCCTAATTTCTCTGTGCCTCATCATCATCTGTAAAAGGGAGATAATGAATACTGAAATGTAGAAAGAACTCAGTAAGTGCTGGCTTTTACTATTTCAGACTTTAGAATAGGGGAGGATTCCTTATGCAAACATGAAAAAATACAGACCACAGAGGGAAAGATTGATTCATGCAGTTACAATAAAATTAAGAACTCTTATACATCAGTAGATAATAAAGTATGAAAAGATAAGCCATAAACTGAAAACATTTGTCATACATATGACTGACAAAGGATTCACATCCAGAATATATAAATAACTCCTATAGACAGTTAGAAAAAGAGAACCCAGTGGAAAAATGAGCAAAAATACAGATAGCCATTTCTCATGAGAGAAAATATAAATAGACAATAAATAAATAAAATGCTTCCGTCTCACCAAAAACCAGAAAAATGCAAAATAAAACCCCAGTGAGAACCATCTTACATCTGCCTGGGTGGCAAAAAAAATTTTTTTTTAATTTTCATTTTGTCTTAGTATGTTTGGGCAGCCAAAACAAAATATCACTAACTGGGCAGCTTATAAACAACAGAAATTTATTGCTAACAGTTTGGGGTCTAGGATATCCAAGATTAAGGTGCCAGCGTGGTCGCATTCAGAAAGGCCGTTTCCTAGTTCATAATCAGCACCTTCTTGCTGTGTCCTCACATGGTAGGAGGTACTAGGGAGCTCTCTGGAGCCTCTTTTATAAGGCACTAATCCCTTTATGAGGGTACCACTTCCTAAAGGCATCCTCCAACTAATACCTTCACCTTTAGAAATGTTAGGATGTCAACATATGAATTCTGGGGAGACACAACATTTAGACCACAGCACATACCAAATGTTGTAAGGATGCACAGCAACAGAAACTCTTACTCATTGTTGATGATACTAACATTGGAAATAGTTTGGCATCCTTTGGTAAAGATACACAGGTACACATATGAATTTCACTCTAAGGTATGTAGCCCAGAGAAACTTTTGTACATGGATAGCAGGAGAGGTGTACAAGGATATCAGCACTCTTTGTAATAGCAAAACACAAAAAACAAAGACAAAAACAACTGTGAACATCTCAAGTGTCCATCAGTAGGGATAGTGGGCAAATGAATATTGATACATTTACACAACTGAATATTATGAAATTGCCTGCACTACACTGACATGGGTGAATCCTGTAAAAATAATATTGCATTAAAAAGCAAGTCCACAGATTGTATACAGTATGATTCAAAAGCATGCAAAACTAGACAATACATTGTTTACAAGTACATCCATACATGAGAAATTCTAAAGAAAAGCAAGGGGATAATAAGCACAAAATTTGGATAGTGGTTAAAAGGTATTAGAAAGTTTTGTTTTCTAAACTGGGTGATGGACTACATGGCATTTATTTTATTGTTACTATTAAAGACATACATTTATGTCTCTTATGACATAAGTTTTATAAGTATGATATATTTCATACCTAACAAAAGATTAATTCAGAAAAACCACAGGGTTTTGTGGTAAAAGGTTCCAAATGTTCAAGGTCAGTAGACCTGGGTTTAGGATCAGTCTTCTGCTCCTTATCAGCTGCACGGCTTTGGGCAAATTGAGATTCAATTTCCTAATTGATAAAGTTGGGAATAATAACATTTATCTCAAAGACTGTTGTAAACCTTCAGTAATAGGTAATGTGAGTGAAAAACACCTTATAGTTTAGTTCAGGTGACCAAATACTTGGTGCCAAGAGCCAAAGTCGCAGGATGAATGAAGCACTGTGCCTGGGCACTTATGCTGAAGTGGACAGACAGGCAGGTAAATGGTAGCCTCAAGTCAGCTTCAGCATAAGAGCTGAGAGAGAGCAAAGATGTGTTCAGCTCTGCTTGGGAAGGCTGGTGCCACCTGAGAGAGCTACCTAGAGGGGGTATGACCACTCTGAATTCTAAAGGGTGAGCTAGCGCAATCCCAAGAAGGGAGAGGGAATAAACAGGGCTGACAGAGGGAACAGCATAAGAAACAGCAAAGTCGGTATGTTTCCACACTGGTCTTTTGTAGGATGACATATACCCTAAAATAAGGATAGAGGGACTGGCAGGGCCAGGAAACTTAGGGTTTTGTGTGTTGGGTTATTAAAGGTGGACTTGACTGTTAATGGAAACCATTGAGTAACTTTAGATAAGGAGGCAGCAGGACAAGAATGGGGCTGGAAGGGCAGGAGGGATGGTTTATGTGGAAGACACTAGAGACAGAGGGAGACTGTAGTGGCTCAGGTGAGGAAAAATGAGAAAGGCTGGAGGGCAGAGAGATTTAAGAGATG